TTTGTAACAAACACAGTGGAGTGGTTAACTTTATAGACCAGGATCAGAGGACCCTAGGGCCACGAAGGGAGAAGAGCACAAGCAGAATGCAGGACCCTATCCAGAGAAGCAGTGACACCAGAGATGGAGGCAGAGATGGGACATGGAGAGAGAGAGCAGCTGATAACTAGATTCATGGAAAGAGAGGGACTGAGAGCTGGCAGCCAGGAGGCAGGCTTGCAGAATGTGCCCTTTGGTGGTATAAATTATTATATATGTCTGAGTGTCTAAAAAAAAAGCTAAAGTGCCTAGAGAAAAATACTGTTAACTGATGGTACATGGAGGGGATTATAATCATTGTAATGAAACAAAGTATATGATCTGTTAAATGTAAAACTGATCTGCCCTGTAAACTTTCACTCAAATCACAATAAAAACTTTTTTAAAAAATTTAATTTCATCTGATGATTGGTAAATTATGGAAGACACTAAGTTAGATTTAATAAGAGTATAAGACCTTTGATTTTTATGTCTGGAAACAAATAGTTAGAAGATAAAATTATACTCTAGGATCTCAGGTCATGCAAGAGATTACTGGCTTTAGGCCTCTGTTGTTAAATTTTGTTATGTCATTTCCGATTCGAGACTACATAGGGCTTCCAAGGAATAGCTTGTGGGTCTGAACTATCAGACTTGTGGTTAGCAGTCCAGTGTTGATTCTATTGTGCCACACCAGGAGTCTTTAGGCTTCTAATGCATTAGAAAAATGAATTAATCAAACTTATTTTCAAATAATTTAGTTTCCATAGGAAAAGAACATGAATTCACTGAGAGATCTGCCTACAAGTGGTTCAGAAGAAGCCCCTAGCATACTGGCATCCCTAGTGAGATTGTTATATAAATGGGCTTGCAAAGAACTTCTTTCATTCTCACTGCTGTGGAGCTGATTCCGGCTAGTAGAGACCCTGTAGGGTAGAGCAGAATTGCCACATAGGGTTTCTGAGACTGTAAATTTTTATGGGCGCAGACAACTGCATCTTTCTCCTGTGGAATGTCTCAGGGGTTTGAACACCTAACTTTTTGGTTAGCACTGTACCACCAGGAATGACTTGTTAGCAAAGAACTAGCCTTTGACTATTCCATGATATTTAAGTGGACAGAGTAAACTGCCTCAGGTAAATCTTAGTTCTTTTAAACTTCCCAGTATTAAACAGACACCATAAAGGAGAGATGAAAAGATGTTTCTAGTGCTTTATAAAAGCTGTCGATGCATAAAATACCATGGCGAACACATAGTGAAAATACTAGACAACATAAATGCTTAAAATGATCTATGCATTATACTGTCATCTCATATAAACAATGTGAGTTGCCTATTACTATGATCACCCTTTCTAACAGATTATCCCTGGATGGTACAAACTGTTTACAAGACTGGTGGTTCAAACCCACACTGAGGCCTCAGGGGTAAGGTCTGACAATTTGTTTGTGAAAGGTCACAGGCTTCCAATACTGATGAAATATGGATTTTGTTGCTGTTGTTGAAATGTTGATTGTGAACTGAGTAAAAGTTTATAGAGCATATCATCAGTCATACAAGCAACAAATCATACACTGTTTTATCTCAATGACTGCAGTGCCCTCCCTGTAACAGTTATCCCACTCCCTCCTTGAGGGTCTCATTTCCATTCCACCCACCTTCCCAAGCCTTCTGAAAGTTTTTTAAGGTCAATGCTGCCCTTCTGAATTGAATGATTGCCCATTCCATGGTGTTCATACCTCACTAGTGTTGTTGTCCCCGCTATATACCTATCTACTTCTTGGCTAAAAATTGGTCCACAAGATTTGAGTTTTGTTCCAGACCTGAGGGGCATGCATGGAGTCAGAATCGACTCAATGGCAACTGATTTGGTTGAGGAAACTGAAGCTTAAAAAGGTTAAGTAACTTGCTCAGCGTCACAAAGCTATTAGGTAAAACAGACTCCAGAAACAAAGCTACTGTGTTGTACTGCTCCTGTGTACTTCATAAGTGCAAGGGGCAAAGAACTCTTTTTCTATTATGTTAATAGTTTTATTATATTATGACAATAAAAAGCTACCCATATAAGTTTTTGATGAAACAATTTGTAGAAAAACTCAACAAATACTCATTGGGCCCGTTTTGTGGCTAAATACTCTCATGCGCTAACATTATTACTAATGACTGTCTATTGAAAAGATGTCTAAGACTTCAAAGATACCCCACTTATAATTAGAGGCCCTGGTGTGGCATTGTAAGATAAGCACTGGATTGGTAACCAGAAGGGCGGCAGTTCAAATCCACCAGCAACTCTTGGAAACCCTATATAAGGGTCACTGTGAGTTGGAACAGACGCAACAGCACACAACAACAACATAGTATGTATGTGTTGGCTTTTAATGTGATCATCAAAGTAACGTATGTTCGCTATAGGAATCCCAGGGTGGCATAAATAG